TTGCTCAGTAACGATTGCAGCTGAACAATCGTAATAACTCCAGTTTAGCAGCTGTACCTCCAGTTTAGATCTGTAAGCTTAACTAATCAGAGTAGTTTTTTCAAATATTGGTAATTCGTAACTTTTATAATTAACTTCCTTGCATGACAATTCATCTTTTTGATCGTGTCAAATCAACATTTTTTTCTTTCAAATGTTTATTTAACGTTGTTTCCAATTATACTTTTGTTTTCCTTTTTTCTGATCTGAAGATCAAAGACATTACTTTTTCGTTTTAAATTTTTTTGCAGCCGAGCGATGCCCGAATTGTCTCGAGATTGTTTTTGTTCTGTCGAGTCGGTGGAAATATACCAGGCTCGGGCAGAGCAAATGAGAGCTATCTTTGTTCGGCGAGAACGCCGAAATCTACCCGAAGATGGTTCAGATGTTCAGACTATACACATTACTTGTCGAAATGATGGAAATTAATCAGTTGTGGTCGAGATGACGAGATGGTCGAAACACAAAGTGAGCATCTCGACCCGGCTAAATACTTGCAATAAAAAACGCTTGTTGTTTTTAATTACTGGTACTTAAAGCGCGCAAATTAACATAGATACATGCAAAACTAGTCAGCTTGTGGCTGGGTCTCAGTATCCTTATCCCCAGACCACGAGGTCACTCCTAGAAATAGGGCTACTAAGTTGTTATCAACTTACTTTTGTTTTTGTTCAGTAGTTAAAAAACATCAGATCCATCGGACATGGATCAACTTTTTCGTTCATTTCCTAGCTTCTCATTATCTAAAAAAAAAATGAAATAAATGTTAATTCAATTCAGCTCAGGACAATCTGGGAAACTAAAAAAGGTTAAAACCACTATTTACAAGGTTTTTCCGAGACGCTTCCGGATTCTGGAATCCGGACGAAGAGCTGTGTTCTTGTCGACCATTAAGGGTAGCGAATCTTCCCATTAGCCCTACTGATTCTCGGGAATTGCCTTTCGAAGAAAAATTCAACTTGTTTTTGTGGCAAATTTGCTCAGTAGTTTAGCAAAACCACTTTATAATGGTTCTGGGTTCGTGGGCGGAATCTTTTAGTCGTCAGCGTACTCCTAGAAATAGGGCTACTACGTTGTTATCAACTTACTTTTGTTTTTGTTCAGTAGTTAAAAATCATCAGATCCATCGGACATGGATCAGCCTTTTCGTTCAGTTCCTAGCTTCTCAATATCTAAAAAAAATGAAATAAATGTTAATTCAATTCAGCTCAGGACAATCTGGGAAACTAAAAAAGGTTAAAACCACTGTTTACAAGGTTTTCCCGAGACGCTTCCGGATTCTGGAATCCGGACGAAGAGCTGTGTTCTTGTCGACCATTAAGGGTAGCGAATCTTCCCATTAGCCCTACTGATTTTCGGGAATTGCTCAGTAACGATTGCAGCTGTACAATCGTAATAACTCGGAGCACTCTTCTTTGAATGTATTTGTATACAATTTCTGTCGTTCGCTATATTTCTCCCACGTCTTGTTTTTGTCAGCGAAATTCGTTGTTCTGTTTTTCGCGGTTTTCGATTGTCGCGAAATGTTAACGAATGTCTTTAAAATTGAACTAATTTCTGAAAATTTATTTTTCAGTCAAAACCGACCTCTCCCAATTCTTTCAACTGAACGATAAGCACTACTAATTGTTGGAAACAGCGTTTTCCAACTAAACTGCCTAAAAAAAATTTGTTGACAGTATGCATTTCAATCATTGTGGTCAAATTTCACAACATAGAATAACTTTTGATTGGTTATAAATTTCGTGCACATAAAAACGAAGTTAAATCTATTTAAAAATTATATATATTTTTGTTCAGAACTTGTCTCAAACAAAATTTTCAAAAATTTTAGAAAGACAGCAGAGAAGACTGATTGGTCGGTGTTTTAAAATTTATCGTTTTTGATAACGGTAATGACATTGTCTGATTTCCGATTTGTTGAATTCAGATAGAGGTTTTAGAATTCAGGTTTCTAGTTCATGGCCACGAGATTTATGAGGAATTAATATGCCTATGATTTTATTGAGTTTTGTACACCAAGACTGTACTTCTCATAAACACAGTTTCAATTGGAGACTTCCTTCCTTGAGTCGCCAAAGACACTTTTACATCAAAAAATAAAAAATAGGCTGTCTATGTTTGATCTTCGAGACAAAATTTATGAAACAAAACTTATCACAGACTCTCATTGTCTTAAATGTTCGTGAGTACTTTTTGTTCCAGTATGTTGTTGCAAAAAGGCAGAGCTCTTGTCTAAAAGAACTGGTAAATCTCCAAAAAAAAAATTTTTGCTGAAGATAACTGCAAGTCATAACATTTTACCTTAAAATACGATAGTTTTCACTACTACTAGCATCATCAATTATGTACAAAACGAAGCAAAATTTTTACACTTAGAAAGATTTTGAAAATCAGAAAAAAATAGCAATAAAAGTTAAGCAAATTAAGGCAAACCTAAGGCGCACTTTCTTTTCCGAAAGCAAAAAATCCAAATCTGGATTATAGAGCCGTTTTTTGAACGTCGTAACGTGTCTTTACAATTGAATTTTTTTTCTGAAAATTTACATATCAGTCAAAACCGCCCCAAATAAAAATTCGTGGACGGTATGCATTTCGATCATTCTGGTCGACTGTCACAACATAGAATGTTTTTTGATTGGTTATAAGCTTTTTGGACGTAAAACCGAAGTAACATCTATGAAAAAGTGACAGTTTTCTGCTCAGATTTTGTCTCAAACAAGTTTTCAAAAACCTTAGAAAGATAGCACAGAAGACTGATTGATCGGTGATTTAATTTTTATCGCTTTCTAAATTGGTAGTGACATCGTTTTCTTTCCACTTTTTTGGTAAAATGGCTCTTTAATGGCAAAAAATTTTAAAAAAAACAGAGGTTTGAAGATAATTTTAGCTGCATGTTTTAGAATCAAGTTTCCAATTCCGTCAGGGCCACGTAATTTATGAGGAATTAACTTGCTTAGGATAATTTTGACTTTTTGTCCGGTGAAGACTGTACTTCTCATAAACACACTTCTAATTGGAGACTTCATTCCTTGAGTCGCCAAAGACACTTTTTCATCAGAAAATAAAAAATTCAAAGTCGCCAAGACAATTTGAAAACATCGCTTTAAGCAGTTAGCTGAGATGGCGTCGTTGTCAGCAATTATTTTGTTCCAAAATTTCCTTGGAAACATAGGTGCTTTTTTGACTTTTTCGAGATAATTTAGGACGCGAGAGACTCTGTTCGAAAGAGTGCCTTATTCAAAGAATCTTTGATCATCACTGGAAAAGGAATAGGCTACCAGTTCCAGAATTTTTAAGTTTTGTTTTTGATGTTTAATAAAAAAATGTAGAAATCAAAAACTAAAGATGAATTGAACCTTGATTGCTAAATTAAAATAACATGAAATCATCTAATAACATCTAACAACAAAATGAATTAAAAAACTAACGTTGCCAATGCTCAGATAAGTCTGCATTCTTTTCACGTTATTCTTTTCAACTATTCAGAGCAGTTTTTTTAATGGGATGTTCTAATAAAGATCGTTCATTGTGGATTCAGACGTTGAGCTAGGATGTACCTTCAATTTGGATCCGTAGTTGTAACTAGTCAGAGTAGTTTTTCAATATTGGCAATTCTATTGTAGATTGGTCATATTGGATCAGTTAATTAAGTTAATTAAGATCATTTATCCACGGGGGAAAGGAACAACACAAGAGCTGTACAGCTCATCACGGCAAACCGCTGTTGTGCCCCTGTTTAAGAACTACATGCAATTATTTTTTTTTGGTTATTTTTCTGGGCTGGGTAATATTGCTTCACCCTCAAACAACGAGCGCGGATCATGGTGGGCCTCGAACATCCGACCTTTCGATTGAGAGGCGGAGACGTAACCACTTCACCACCGCTCTCCTCAGGCTGTTTAGTTGGAGTTAGGCTGTACCTCCAGTTTAGATCTGTAAGCTTAATTAATCAGAGTAGTTTTTTCAAATATTGGTAATTCGTAACTTTTATAATTAACTTCCTTGCATGACAATTCATCTTTTTGATCGTGTCAAATCAACATCTTTTTCTTTCAAATGTTTATTTAACGTTGTTTCCAATTATACTTTTGTTTTCCTTTTTTCCGATCTGAAGATCAAAGAGATTACTTTTTCGTTTTAGTTTTTTTTTGCAGCCGAGTGATGCCCTAGCCGTGTCGAGATTGTTTTTGTTCTGTCGAGTCGGTGGAAATATATCAGGCTCGGGCAGAGCAAATGAGAGCTATTTTTGTTCGGCGACAACGCCGAAATCTACCCGAAGATGGTTCAGATGTTCAGACTATACACATAACTTGTCGAAATGATGGAAAGTAATCAGTTGTGGTCGAGATGACGAGATGGTCGAAACACAGAGTGAGCATCTCGACCCGGCTAAATACTTGCAATAAAAAAACGCTTGTTGTTTTTTATTACTGATGCTTAGTTGTAGCTCAAGATTCATTAAAACGAAAAAACAATGCAGCTAAAACGTTAGACAAGAATGCTCGTATCAGGATAAAGCCTTAGCTTTTATAACTGACCTGTAATGTTTGTGAAATATTTTTTTTTTGAACTCACAATATGATGGAGTTTTTAAAGTAATAAAAACTGAACCATTTTTCCTGTGTTCTGCGTTAAGTACAACATTTTTTTTCAGCAGTTAAAGCAGTTAAGCAAAAAAAATTAGAGCAAGCAAATAAAACTAAACGAGGTTTTCAAAAACTTAATTTGGCAGCCATGATATATTCGAATCTATCCAATATATACCTGTACAACTTGGTACGACATGAAAATTCTAAATTGAATTAAAGCGACTTTGAGTTTAGAAAAATGTTTGAAACAAATGCCTGGTTTAGACTGCCGTTAAATTAATAACAAAAGAGTATCTTTTACTCGACAGGTTAATTATCTTTCGATTTCCTATGCGATTTGACGAAATGATATTTTAAAAACTTGCTAACCAGTCTAATACTTGAGTAGTCGCTGCTTTATTACGGATCCTCCTCTGGTCCATAGACTCCAGAGGACCTGTCGGCTGAAAAGAATCCTCCCCACTCACAGCTGAAGCACCCCTTATCTTCCCCGCCTGGCTCCGGACCGCCTTCCCCACTGTCTTTCTGGAACTAGCCAGAGTTCCTGACCTCTCAAATGTAACTTGAGTCGCTCCTTTCTCAACCGGACGAAGTTTTGCCACGCGCTGGGTAGATTCAAAATGCACCATTTTTGGTAATCAGTTGAAGGTAAATTTGATCATAAATTGAATGAGTTTAATTTTCAATGGTAATAAACATCGGCATTTTTTGAAAGCTTTGTATTGATTGCTCAAACTTGTATACAAGCGCCTGTGTATACGCATACACGACGTGACTAAATGACCAGAGCGCTCTTTGAACAGCAAAACGTTTAAAAATGGTATCAAAATTGAGAATCGAGTTGATATTAAAAGCATTTAAAATGCATTGAGCTCATCAGCTCATGTGTTTTGTATGCTTTTGTTTTCAAAAAAAAATTTTGAGGTGATTATTGCATGGTTTAATTCTGTATAAAAAACGGTTTGCAATTGATATAATTGATCGCGACAAAAAACAAATTAGTCCAGACAGTAGAAGAAATCACGCGATAATTGAGATATATGGCAATAATTATAGACAAATCATTTGGTAACAAAACCTAAATTTATCATAGCACCTATAAAACCTAAATTTGTTCTAAAAGAAAATGATGCGCTATACTGGGCTTAACAAAGATTTTTGACAGGGGCGGATCTAGGATTTTCCCCGAGGTTGAGGGGAGGCGGTTTTTCAAAAAATTGTTAAAAAATTGTCGAAATTTTTTTTAGGTCGACCAAATTGATTGTCCGAGCTGTCCCAAAACACTAGAAAGACCTTGTTTTGGCCAAACTTTCTGCGCTGCAGGCAAAATTTTGATAAAACAGGCCAAAAAAGGCGATTTTAGGCACTGTTTAGAAAACTTTGACCAAAAAATTGCGTTTTTTCGGCGCGCGCTTCCCCTCGAAATTTGTAAATATTGGCGCCAAAGTCTCCCTAAGACAAATTTTAGGGCCCGTCAGCCAAAAATGGATATCTCAAAATAGTACAAAGGGGGGACCCTTTGGGTCTTCGATTTGTCAAATCCCTGAGAAAGGCGTCACTAACCCTTCGCCTCCCGCCCCCCACCTCCCGCCTAAAACCACCCCTAATTTGTGATCTCGTTATTTGTCGCCAAAAACTAAATTGAATCCATTAAAAGGACGATTAAACAAAGGGGCGTATGGACAATTTTCTGAACGGAATGGATGGGAAAATTTTTTTGAAAGTTCGTCAACGCTTTTCAGGTCGATCAAATGATTTTCAAGGCCTCCCGAAACCCTATAAAGACAGTTTTTGCTAAAGTTTTTTGTATTTATAAGTTTTTAGTTTTAACTAAAGAAGGCGCTCTCCCCCTCAGAATAGGTATGTGGAAGCGCCCATGGCGCCTTTTGAAAATTTTTAGGATCCACTGACTGAAACTGGTTTAGGCTTAGTGAGAAGTCTTCGATATCAAAGAAAAATAGTAAGTCGGTTTTTTGATGGTCAAGGGGTCGAATCCTGGTCAACTGAATTTTCAAAAAAAGGACAAAAAATATCTATTTTCGGGTTTGCTCTTAGTATTATGAGCGGTTTTTTTGTTTAGAACTCTCAATGATACGAAAAACTTGAGCGCTAAGAATGAAAAGAAAGATAAAGATTAATATTTGATTGTGTTGCCAAAATAACAATGAACACTGATTTTTGAGCCGTTAAGAAGTATTTAACGGGGTGAGAAAAACCTTTTCCACTTTTCAATTTCAAAGGTTGTTGAAAGAGGTCATTTGCTCCGGAAATTAATCTGAGACAAACAATAGAATTAGTTCTCAGTTCATTTTCCGTTTTGTGCAGCGCTTTATGCAACCATATCCAGTGTTAGCGCAAACGAAACGGTGGAACATGAGAATTGTTGAGGGGGGTATTAGGAGCAAACTTCCTTCCTGCTCAGGGATTCAACCCTCCTAACTATCCAAAATATCCCCTATGTGATAATGTTGCATCTGTTAAGGCCGAACAAGAACAAGAACAGAATCGTCAAAAAACTGCCCTGAAATGTCAATTTTTCCATGTTTTGCTAAAAGTTTGCCCGCGTAAAAAAACTAGAAACTTTTTTGATCCAGGGGAGCTAGGATTGTGTAAAAAATAAACGAAAAAGTTTTGTTATTGAATTTCCGAGAAAAGCTTTTTATGCTTCTATATGCAATATAAAAGAATAATTTTGCACCATTACACTGTTATCAAATTTCACATCAAAATCAAAAGATTGTTTTGATCGTTTTGCTCACATAAGAAACGCGACCAACTAAAAAACAACAGTAGTTTCAAGATCTTCGTGGTGAAAAGCATTTGAAACGACGAGACCAACTAGGTACAACAGTGGTTGCAAGAGCTTAATAGGTCTTGATTGTGAAATTTTTTTAAAACGAGATCAATTAGGTACAACAGTTGTTCTAAGATCTTAATAAATTTTGATTGTACATTTATTTTGAAATGAGATCAACCAGGTACAGCAGTGGCTCCAAGATCTTGATAGATCTTGATAGCGAAATTATTTTGAACGAGATAAATTAGGTACAACAGTGGTTCCACGATTTTATGGTGAAAACCTTTCGAAACCAGACCAACTAGGTACAACAGTGTTTCTAAGATTTAATTGATCTCGATTGTGAAATTGTTTTAACAAGAGATCAACTAGTTATAAAAGTGGTTTCACGATTTTGATAGATCTTGATTATGAAAATAATTTGAAACGATATCAATTAGGCACAATAGTGGCTTCAAGATCTTGATAGATCTTGATTGTGAAATTGTTTTAAGACGAGACCAACTGGGTACAACAGTAATTCCAAGATCTTGATAGATCTTGATTGTAGAATTATTATTATGAAACCAGATCAACTGGGTAAAACAGTGGTTTCCAGATCTTTATGGTGAAAATTTTTGAAACGAGACCAACTAGGTACAACAGTTGTTTCAAGATCTTTAGGATGGGAACCATTTCAAACGAAACCAACTAGCTACAACAGTAGTTCCAAGATCATTATGGTGAAAACCATTTGACACGAGACCAACTAGGTAAAACAATGGTTCCAAGGTCTTGATAGGCCTTGATTATGAAACTAAATTGAAACGAGATCAAATAGGTATAATAGTGGCTTCAAGATCTTGATAGATCTTGATTGTGAAGGTGTTTTAAGACGATACCAACTGGGTACAACAGTATTTCCAAGATCTATGTGGAGAAACTTTGTTTAAAACAAGACCAACTAAGTATAATAGTGATTCCAAAATATTTATGTGAAAGTCACATTGTTTTGAAACGAGATCAAATAGGTACAACACTGGTTTCAAGATCTTGTTAAATCTTGATTGTGAAATTATGCTGAAACGAGATCAACTAGGTACAACAATATTTCCAAGATCCTGATAGATCTTGATTGTGGAATTATTATAAAACGAGGTCAACTGGGTACAAAAGTGGTTACAAGATCTTTAAGGTGAAAACCATTTGGAACGACACCAACTAGGTACAACAGTGGTTTCAAGATCTTTATGGTGAAAATTTTTGAAACGAGACCAACTAGGTACAACAGTTGTTTCAAGATCTTTAGGATGGAAACCATTTCAAACGAAACCAACTAGCTACAACAGTAGTTCCAAGATCATTATGGTGAAAACCATTTGACACGAGACCAACTAGGTAAAACAATGGTTCCAAGGTCTTGATAGGCCTTGATTATGAAACTAAATTGAAACGAGATCAAATAGGTATAATAGTGGCTTCAAGATCTTGATAGATCTTGATTGTGAAGGTGTTTTAAGACGATACCAACTGGGTACAACAGTATTTCCAAGATCTATGTGGAGAAATTTTGTTTAAAACAAGACCAACTAAGTATAATAGTGATGCCAAAATATTTATGTGAAAGTCACATTGTTTTGAAACGAGATCAAATAGGTACAACACTGGTTTCAAGATCTTGTTAAATCTTGATTGTGAAATTATTCTGAAACGAGATCAACTAGGTACAACAATATTTCCAAGATCCTGATAGATCTTGATTGTGGAATTATTATAAAACGAGGTCAACTGGGTACAAAAGTGGTTACAAGATCTTTAAGGTGAAAACCATTTGGAACGACACCAACTAGGTACAACAGTGGTTTCAAGATCTTTATGGTGAAAACCATTTGTAACGAGACCAACTAGGTATAACATTGGTTCCATGATCTTAATAGATCTCGGTTGTGAAAAAGTTTTAAAAAGAGGTCAACTAGGTACAACAAGATTTCCAAGACCTTGATCGATTTTGATTGTGAAAAAAATTTGAAACGAAGTCAACTAGATACAAAAGTGGTTTCAAAATCTTGATAGACCTTGAATGTGAAATTGTTTTAAAAATAGCCGACTGGGTACAACAGTGGTTCCAAGATCTTTATGGTGAAATTTTGTTTAAAACAAGACCAACTAGAAATAATAGTGATTCCAAGATCTTTATGGTGAAATGTTGTTTAAAATAAGACCAAATAGAAATCATAGTGATTCCAAGATCTTAATGAGAAACAAAATCAACTAGGTGCAACAGTGGTTTAGAAATTTTATGGTGATAACCTGTATAAACCAGACCAACTAGATAGTACAGTGGTTCGAAGATTTTCATAGATTTTGATTATGAATTTAATTTGAAACGAGATCAACTAGGTACAACAGTGGCTTCAAGATCTTGATAAATCTTGGTTGTGAAATTGTTTTAAGACGCGACCAACTGGGTACAACAGTAGTTTCAAGATCTTGATAGATCTTAGTTGCGGAAATATTATGAAACAAGGTCAACTGGGTACAACAGTTGTTTCACGATATTAATGGTGAAAACCGTTTCAAACGAAACCAACTAAGTGTAACAGTGGTTCAAAAATTTTTATGGTGATAACTACTGGAAACGAGACCAACTAGGTACAACAGTATATCCTAGACCTTAATAGGTGTTGATTGTGAAACTGTTTTAAAATGAGATGAATTGGATACAACAGTGGTTCCAAGAACTTAATAGATCTTGACTGTAAAATTATTTTGAACTGCAAAATTATTTTGAACAAGCTAAGTTAGGTACAACGGTGATTCCACAATTTTATGGTGAAAATTTTTCGAAACCAGACCAACTAGGTGTAACAGTGGTTCCAAGATCTCAGTTGATCTCGATTGTGAAATTGTTTTAGAACGAGATCAACTAGGTACAACACTGGCTCCAAGATCTTGATAGATCTTGATTATGATACCAACTTGAAACGAGATCAACTAGATACAACAGTGGC